ACATGAAAACATCTCTGGAGGCAGCAAATTGGTGACCCACCGGCTAAATATGGCCTGCAGATCACATTTTTAAAGCTTCTTAAAGATTTGAAGTTCAATAGAATTGGACTGGCCCAGTACTCTACAGTTTACCACAATTCCCAGCCCTCCCTTTTACACCCCACCCACTGCTTCTCATGTTTCCCTGCCTGGCTCCTGCAGGTATTCATGTTTGCCATCTCTGACTTAGAGGTTTCAATCAATCGCTCTCTCAATAGGAGTCAACTGTTGTCATGGTTACCTGAATAGGATTATGCAATCTCAGATATGTTCAATGGAAGGATCATGTTGAGAACAAGGGAGACTGTGTTTTGACTGGATTTTGTCCGGCTCCAGCTGGCTTTTTGGCTTTTCAGAAGGACATTTACAAATGTTCAGGGAATGATCACACAGGGATAACTCCAAGACGTGTCCTGTGAAGGGTAGCTGACAAGGAGAGTGGACTGATGGACTCCTGAATGGGTGTCCTTCTCTTTAGTTCCGCGGCTCCCCACTTAGTTAAACCACTGTACTACAGCAACAACTTAACACCCCAACTGAGTATCTCCTTCTCTCTACTCGCCCTCTGCATTAGGCTAATCTTGCATTACTATAAAGCAGACGTCCCCAAACTTTTTACACAGGGGGCCAGTTCACTGTCCCTCAGACCGTTGGAGGGCCGCCACATACTGTGCTCCTCTCACTGACCACCAATGAAAGAGGTGCCCCTTCCTGAAGTGCGGCAGGGGGCCGGATAAATGGCCTCAAGGGGCCGCATGCAGCCCGCGGGCCGTAGTTTGGGGACGCCTGCTATAAAGAAATATCTGAGACTGGGCAATCTACTAGAAAAAAGGTTTAATTGTCTCATGATTCTGCAGGCTGTACAGGAAGCATGGCACCAGCATCTGTTGTTTGGGAGGCCTCTGGAAGCTCACAATCCTGGCTGAAAGTGAGGTAGGAGATTACACAGCACTAAGTGAAAGCAGGGGCAAGAGAGACAGCGGGGCGTGCCACACACTTTTAAACAACCAGATCTTGCAAGAATTCACTCACTGTCACAAGGTGAGAAACTGCCCCATGATCCAATCACTTCCCACCAGTCCCACCTCCAACACTGGCAATTACATTTCAACGTGAGATTTGGGCAGGGACACATATCCAAACTGTATCATCCACCATATCCCAGTTCATTTCGGTATTTCACTTTTAAATATTGCCTGAATCTACACGTTTCTGGTACTCCTCACCATCTCTTAGCAGCCTGGACCAAGTGCCTACCTAAAGACTTTTCAACACTCACTTTTCCTCTCTAATGTATTTTCTGAGCTGCACATAGCAATCTTTTAAAAATATATTATGTGTAACTATGCCTTCCCTTGTCACCTATGTTCCCACCACACTGGTCTTCTTCCTGCCCCCAAACACGCCTGGTTTGCACCTGCCTGTGAACCTTTGCTCACGTAGTTTTCTGTCTTTGAAATACCTCTCCCAGATCTCAGCACAGTTTGTCTCTTTTTCAACATTAAATGTCTTGCTTTAAACACCACCTCCTTAAGAGATCTTTCTTGATCATTTTGGAGGAGTGCCGCTCCCTGTCCCTTCCTACCACGTTTTCCTACTTTTTATTTTTTTATTCTTTTTATTTATTTATTTTTATTCTTTTCTTCTTTTTTATTTTTTTGATTTTGTTTTTCTACTTTTCTCACAGCAGTCTTTTTCAGCACCTGAAACAATTTTTCTGTTGGTTAATATGTTTGGGGTCTGTGTCCTCCACTAGATTTGTAATGTAATTGTAACGCCCAAATCCTGGGAAAGGATTCTAGTCATTTTCTTCACAACCGAATCCCATTTCTTCAAATAAATATATGAACAAGTTCCTTATAAACCCTCAATAAACCTATAATCCCAGCACTTTGGGAAGCTGAGGTGGCCGGATCACCTGAGCTCAGGAGTTGGAGATCAGCCTGGGCAACATGTTGAAACTTTGTCTCTACTAAAAATACAAAAAAAAATTTAGCTGGGCGTGGTGTTATGCACCTGTAACCCCAGCTACTCAGGGGACTGAGGCACAAGAATGGCTCGAACCCGGGAGGTAGAGGTTGCAGTGAGCCAAGATGGTGCCACTGCATGCCAGCGTGGGTGACAGTAAGACTCTGTTTCAAAAAAAAAAAAAAAAACAAAACAAAACCCTCAACGACTGCCTATTGTTCTGAAGATCAAGACCAAAATCTTTAATTTGATCTGTAGGACTCAAGAGGTTTGGCCCTTTCTCCAGCTTACCATACACACCTACCTCTCTTTGTTCCACCTAACCTAGAGTTCTTCCACATTTTCAAAGACATTGGGCTTCTTCCACCTCAGGGCTTTGCTACACACTGTTTCTCCTGCCTGGGTCACACTCATCTTCACACGATTGGCTCTTTTTCCTGTTCAGCATTCAGGACCAACGACCTCATTGGACAGACTTTCCTAACGCCCCATCTAAAGTCACTCCTCATCCTCAGTCCTTCTACCCTATCATCCTCTTCATAGTATTTACTACCAGCTGAAATCAGAATATTCATTTCCCTTTTGTTACCTGCGTCTCCCACAGCATATTAAGTTACATGAGTTCAGAGATTTCACGTGTGTTGTTTACTGCAGTATCCCTGGTATCTAGGGTGGTGCCTGGCAACCACTAGGCATTCAAATATTTGTTGAATAACTGAATGACTAAAACAACCTTGGGAGGTAGCACTTATGATTCCTATTTTACAAACAAGAAAATGAAGGTCCAAAGAGATTTTTGTCACCTGCCCAAGGACCCATAAGCTTGTAAAGGGTAGAGCTATAATATAAATCCAGACACAGCTCAAAATTGGTGTCTCTCTATACTCTAACCCCTTCCCCCATCCCACTCTTTCTAGCTCTATCATCTGCTTCAGGACTCCTTTGGGAACCTACAGGTTTTGTCACAGGAGCCACAGCAGCAAATGTTTCAGCCTATTACATACACACTACATGCAGACACGCACACACACAGACACGTACAAACATAGACACCCGTGCACGAATAAAAAACAGCTCTCTTTCCTAGTATAAAATTCATCTCTTTTCTGACAGTGGTCAAAAATAATTAATTAATTAGTTAATTAAAAAAAAAATTTCATCTCAGCCAGGTGCGGTGGCTTATGCCTGTAATCACAACACTTTGGGAGGCCGGGGCAGGCGGATCACGAGGTCAAGAGATCAAGACCATCCTGGACAACATGGTGAAACTTTGTCTCTACTAAAAATATAAAAATTAGCTGGGCGTGGTGGTGCATGCCTATAATCCCAGCTACTCGGGAGTCTGAGGCAGGTGAATCGCTTGAACCCAGGAGGTGGAGGTTGCAGTGAGCCAAGATCATGCCATTGCACTCCAGCCTGGCAACAGAGCGAGACTCCATCTCAAAAAAGGAAAAAAAAGAAAAAATTCATCTCATTCATCTGGATAATTAACAGAATACAACAGAATTAAGACAGGAGTGCCAATAATTGCATGAAAAACATTGGCCTGTTGCTACAGAAAATATTCATGTATTCATTTATTCAAGTACCTGTTATTTATTGTGCTCTGAGGATGCAACAGATGAAGGAAAACAGACCCGGGGGGGAGCACATGTCCATTTGGCCAAGCATATTAGATACGCTCTACTTCAGTGCTTCTCAAATGTGGTACAGAGGAACATCTGCACCCAGTCTCCTAAAATATGGATTCCTGGGTCTCATTCCCTGCCGAAGCAGAATTTCTATTTCACTTGAATTTTGCCATAAAACTATGGCTCGGGCACTATGAGTATTCCCACTTTAGGGATGAGCAAACAGGCATTAACAGGTTAAAATGAATTGACCAAGGTCACATAACTAAGCTAGAAATGAGTATCCAGGCATAATTCCCAAATCCACTTCCTTAATCCGTCAACATTATACACTTCATTCTATACCATTTTAAAGCTCTTTCCCCCAGTACTGAAACATACAAGACCCTCACTACTACAGGAGCAGTCCAGGATCATCAGCATCACCTGGAACTTTGTTAGGAGTGCGAATTCTTGGATCCCACCCCAGATGTACTGTATCGAAATCTTCATCTTAAAAAGACCTCTAGGAAATTCGTGTGCACTTGAAAGCTTGAGAAGTGTACTCTAGATTATTGATTAATGCAAACACAGAAAGCAGAGTAATTCTTGTAACTTCCAGAACCTTTCTAGAAGTTTCTCTTCTTAAACATCTAGTTACTTGACTGAACAACTCAAAGCGCCAGAGGGTGACAGGAATAAATCCTAGTGTCTGCTGCCACCTTGTGGTGAGAGGTTTCATTCCAGGCAGAATTCGCTCTTCACCACGAAATAAATGGGGCAATGTTGGACGGGAGGGGTGGATCAGGTCAATTCAGCAATGTACTTTGAGAGACCACTACAAAATTCCAAGATGTAATGAAAACCACCCTTGGGGCACATTTTGAGATGTCCAAACAACAACTGGCCTTGTCATATGTGTTCCACGGGACACAGAGAACATCGACCAGCTGTAACTGAGAGATCTAACAGCAGCTCAACTTTTGTTAATCAACAGATCGTTGGTATTCCCACAGGTCCCTTCCCCTTCAAAGTTCAAATATGCACTTCTGAATGTGGCGGTCAATTAGTGCACGGGTGTTTTTTGTTTGGTTTGGTTTGGTTTTTGTTTTTTTCCCCATGCAAATGCCAGTGTTGAGGCAATCAGATAATCATTTCTTCATTTGCCTTGCTGGAGAATCTGTGAAGTCTTCCACAAAGAGCTACGGAATTTCACACAGCTCTGTCAAATACATCATTGGTGACCTCTGTGAAGCTGTAAACAGGGTCAGTCCCACAAATAATGTCTCTAACACTTGGAAGGGAATAAGGGAAAGATTCTAAAAATTTCCTATGTATTTTATTCCAAATAGCCCAGACCTTGACAGTACACTCAGTCACTGGATGATTTTGTATTGAAGTCCGTAAGTTCAAGAACTAAAAGAATCCAAAACGGCTGCTACAGATGAAGTTGACAGCAATGGCCCGACGTCAGCTGTATCTACCAGAATCCTTTAAGATTGCCTATGGAAAAGTTGGACAGTACCGAAGATTCCAGCAACTCAAGAAGAAAAATGGCTCATTCAAAAGGAAGGGGATTGAAAGGTGGGTAATAATTCATTTCGCTTTCTGTCAAATGAGAGTCTTCGGATTTTGCGTGGTGACATGTCCTTTTAAGCGTTGCATTTCGAAGTGAGGACTCTGGATGGATTGGCAGAAAAGGTACTGCATTGGATCAAGAAATCTAGTGCAACAACGTAAGCTTCATTTTATGATCAGAAAGGTCTTAACTGTAACAGGGAAAACCTTTCCTTTCCACTTGAAATTGAGTTTTAATGTGGCACAGGAGACTAAAATAGGTAGTGATCCTATGTTGATATTTCAGCATCAGAATTTTAGACACCTCACATGCCATGAAAATAGTATTATTTTGAAAAGTGATTAGTGCCTTCTTCAAAATAGGTCCATCCATGATCAATGCTTTCTTTTTCCTATTCCAGCAATTCTGGCTGCTGAAATATGTGCTAATCACATTTCACTGTGGACACATTGTTTAATGTAACATTAAAACTGTCTTAGAGCTGCTTTTTTTCTTGCCAAGGACAAAAACCATAGACAGGTATGAAACATCCAAAATATAATATATTTTAATCTGGAAAGTCAGTGTGGTGATTTATTTTCTGGTTTCTTCATGCTTCTCTCTTAACAGGTCCATGGACTATATAGTTCAGACATGTAGAAGTGAGGTGTTTTAATGAGTCCCGGAAGCATCAAAAGCCAAGCTTATGAACTTCCATGGACAAAATGAAATACTACAGAGATTCCCACTTTCAATGAAATGTAGGAGATCCAGGGAGAAGCAATACAACCAAATAAATTCAGTACCAACAGAAAAATATTTAAGAACTTACGAAGGGGAGGGTTCTGCTCATACCAGAAGTTGCGGCAGTTGTATTCCTAGGCTCTGGAGCAAAATCACCTTTGTTAATTATGTTTCAGATAGATTAGAGAGGAGGGTGGAGAGGATAGGAATGGTGAACACCTTCTAGAGATTCTGAGACCACTTAGAACTGGGTTTTTAACCAGAGGGGTTGCATGGATGGTCTTCGGGATTCCTGAATCTCCGGAAATTGTATTTGCATTGTTCTGTGTCAAAGTGTATGTGTGTACATGTTTACAGTAGTAGAATCACTTAAAAATTAAATTATTCGCCAGGCATGGTGGCTCATGCCTGTCATCCCAGCACTTGGGGAGGTTGAGACGGGTAGATCACGAGGTCAGGAGTTCAAGACCAGCCTGGCCAACATGGTGAAACCTCGTCTCTACTAAAAGTACAAAAATTAGCTGGGTGTGGTGGCACACATCTGTAATCCCAAGCTACTCAGGAGGCTGAGGCAGAAGAATCGCTTGAACCCGGGAGGCGGAGGTTGCAGTGAGCCGAGATCACACCACTGCACTCCAGTTTGGACACTAAAGCAAGACTCCAACTCAAAAAAAAAAATTAAATTATTATTAAAGGAGTCTCAGAGGGATCTACAGGAGATTAATACTAGCCCATAAGTTATCTTCAGGCAAATTAGGAAATGGTGCTCCCTCCTCAGGACATTTCTCTACCGTCTGCCAGAAAATCATTATAACTATATACACAACCCTAAAGGCTAAATTGAATGGCACCCCCTAGAAGTCATGTGTAAAATTTGCAGAAGGGAGGCTTCTGGTCTCCCAGAGATTCATTTCCTTGGTCCCAGAAGGGAGGCTGCTAGTCTCTCCCTTATTTTGCCATCTAGTGTGGGTTCCCTCCTTGCCTTTTACATTTTCCCCACTATTCTGATCCACATGGTAATAAAAAGCATCATTTACTGAATGCTTTTTAAGGTTCCAAACACATGAATTATTTCCTTTTATTTTCACTATTCTGAAAAGGCTATGCCCATTTTCAAATGAGAAGACCAAAGCTTATAGAGATTACATAAAATGGCCAAGGTAACAGAGCTAGGAATTGTCCTGAGTTGAACCAAGACCATTTAACTTTAGTATCTGGTCTCTCACTAAACTACTTTCCATGTATAATTATAGAAAAAGGCGGAATGATTTAGGTTCCGTTTAGAACAGTGTTTTCCTGGAGAGTAGTATACATGCTACTGATGGTACATGAGATATTTTAGGTAATATATAAAGAACATTGTTAATGGTTATAAATTTGTTTTAATCCCTATTAGAAATACATGTTACGGCTGGGCGCGGTGGCTCACGCCTGTAATCCCAGCACTTCGGGAGGCCGTGGTGGGCAAATCACAAGGTCAAGAGATCAAGACCATCCTGGCCAACATGGTGAAACCCCGTCTCTTACTAAAAATACAAAAATTAGTTGGGCGTGGTGGCATGTGCCAGTGGTCTCAGCTACTCAGAAGGCTGAAGCGGAAGAATCACTTGAACCCAGGAGGCGGAGGTTGCCAAGATTGTGCCATTGCGCTCCAGCCTGACGACAGAGCAAGACTCCGTCTCAAAAAAAAAAAAAAAAAAAAGTTATATATTTAATATAATGTAATAGCATAAAATAAAACCTGGGATTTTACCCAGAGAAATGAAGATTTATGTTCATACAAAACCCATACAAAAATGTTTATAGCAGCTTTATTCATAATAGCCCCAAACTGGAAACAACCCAAATATCTTCCAATTAGTCAATAAACAAAATGTGGTACATTCATATCATGGACTATTACTCAGCAATAAAAGGATATGAACAATTAATATGCAAAACCCAGATGAATGCCCAGAGAATTATTCTGAGCGAAAACAAAGCAAATCTCAAAAAATTACTTGATGTATATTTCCATTTACATAACATTCTTGAAAGGACAAGAATTATGCAAATGACAGATTCGTGGATGCCAGTTTAAGAAAGAGGGGGCCAGTGGAAAACAGGTGTGGCTATAAAACATGAGGGATCCTGGTGTTACTGGAAATGTTCTGTATCCTGACTATATCAATGTCAACATGCTGATTGTGAAAATATAGTTTTGCAAGATGTCAGCATTTGGGGAAACTAGGTAAAGAGCACACAGAATCTTCCTGTATTTCTTAAACTGCCTGTGAAATTATAATGATCTCAACATTAAAATTTTAAATTAAAAATCACCTAAGATTTCACGGGTATTTTTAAAAAGTTAATTGAGGAAGAATATTAGGTAAAAATTGTATCACGGTATAGGTGATATTCTAGCATAGTGGTTAACAACACAGACCTCAGGATCAGATCATCTGGATATAAATTATTTAGTCTCTCCAAGCTTTAATATCTTCAGGTGTGAAGTAGAGATGAGAATGCAAAGATTTAATTATGTTATACACATGAAAGCACTTGGAAGAGTGTTTAGCACACAGAAAGCTATCAGGAAGGCCAGGCGCGGTGGCTCAAGCTTGTAATCCCAGAACTTTGGGAGGCCGAGGCGGGTGGATCACGAGGTCGAGAGATCGAGACCGTCCTGGTCAACATGGTGAAACCCCGTCTCTACTAAAAATACAAAAAATTAGCTGGGCATGGTGGCACGTGCCTGTAATCCCAGCTACTCAGGAGGCTGAGGCAGGAGAATTGCCTGAACCCAGGAGGCGGAGGTTGCGGTGAGCCGAGATCGCGCCATTGCACTCCAGCCTGGGTACCAAGAGCGAAACTCCGTCTCAAAAAAAAAAAAAAAAAAAAAAGAATATTGTAATAAAATATGCCAAAATTATGAAGATGGTACACATAGTCACTATATATGAGTTAACAGTATGTTATCTAAATGAGTGTTCTATGTAAATGCAGCATATGTGGGGACTTGGAGGTTATTCCCGATTGACTATCCTAGCAGACTCTCTCATCTTTTATTACTTTCACTTTGAAACTGCCAAATCTAGCAAAAACTATCTCAAATTTTCATTAAAATAAGATCGCCAAATTGCCAATATAAGTTAGTGGATTCCAAGAGACAGACCTGGATTAAAGTCTGCATTCAACCCTTGGTCAATTAATTTAACCTATGTCTCAGTTTACTTGTTAGTAAAATGAAGATAATAATATAACCTACCTCTTATAGTACTGTGTTTAAATTAAATAGTGACTGGATTACTGTATTATGGTAACAGAACACCAAGTAGTTGCTTTGGCTTTATTTTTCTGTGATTTGATTCTTGTTCTCCAATTTCACTTTTTTTTTTTATTGTATAGTTTATTCACATTTGAAGTTTGTGTTTTAATGATTTAAAAGTTATTCACTTTTAATGTTTCAGTTCCCCCAATATGAACTATTTCTGTTTTGTTTAGATGGCATAGAGCTGTGTCTACCAACTTACTAAAACAAAAGGTATTGGTCCCTAAAGAGGAATCATCCAGTGAGAGTGACATGGAATTTCACGAAAGCCAGCAAAATCAGAAAAGAAATTTGATGACGAAAGTGAAGACTGCTTTTGGGAGGATGCTGTCCTACAAGTATAGAAGCAAGCCAGCAAGTGCCAGCAAAGACAGCTCCACGGACCATGAGGAAGCCCTCCTGTCAAATATGCAGAGCCTTCTCCCTAGGATTGCTAAGGAACTTCCATCTCCCAAGTTATTTACAACAAAAATGAGAAAGTTCTCAGAGAATGGTAATCAAATTTGGGCAATCTGTCTGTCATTGGGTTGAGGCCAAGAGGAAAAGTGAAATTAGGATGAATTTTCTTGCTACACTAGTATGCCATCCCTGAGGAGCTGGTCTGAAAGGCAGAATCTCAGGACCTACCTGGGCCCTTCTGAGTCAGAAGCTGTATTTTAGCAAGATCCTAAGTTGGCTTGTATGTTCACACCATTTTGCTTTTTGTTTTCGTTTTTTTTTTTTTTTTTAGACGAATCTTCTCTGTCTCCCAGGCTGGAATGCAGTGGCATGATCTCGGCTCACTGCAACATCTGCCTCCCGGGTTCAAGCGATTTTCCTGCCTCAGCCTCCTGAGTAGCTGGAACTACAGGCGCTTGCCACCACGTCCAGCTAATCTTTGTATTTTTAGTAGAGAGAGGGTTTCACCTTGTTGGCCAAGCTGGTCTTGAACTCCTGACCTCAGGTGATCCACTTGCCTTGGCCTCCCAAAGTATTGGGATTACAGGTGTGAGCCACGATGTCCAGCCTTGTTCATACCTTTTGAGAAGCACTGAATTGGATTGCCTTGGAGATTCCTCCTAGTTCAATTAATCACTGGTCTAATCAGTATAAAGTCACCTTTTATTTAAATATATATGCATAAATACTCATCTATAAGTTCGTGTATATTTATATATACATATACATTGGAAAAGCAAACTCAAGGAAGATTTTCGGTTTTGTTTCTGGAGAACGCAGTGATACAGGCTTTCACATGCTACTTCTAATAGTGGAGGGGGTAGTGAGAATTAAATAAATAAAATGTATGACTGGTAAGTCATAAAGAATGCTTGCTTTTATTGCATCTACTTTCTATGTACTGTGTGGAAGAATCAGTATTGGAACTCCTAACTAAGTTGTTTTTGCAACTAGCAATACTGTCATTTGGCATCCTACGAGTTATGACTAACAATACTACCAATGTTTGCATTCTCATCTGCAGCTTTTTAAAAAATTAATGAAGTCTAGGCCAGGATCAGTGGCTCACGCCTGTAATCCCAGCTCTTTGGAAGGCCGAGGCAGGTGGATCACTTGAGCCTAGGAGTTCAAGACCAGCCTGGGCAACATGGTGAAACCGTCTTGGCCAAAAATACAAAAAAGAAAAAAAAATTAGTTAAGCATGGTGGCATGTGCCTGTAGTCCCTACTAGGGGAGCTGAGGTGGGAGAATTGCTTGAATCTGGGAGGCAGAGATTGCAGTGAGCCAAGATCATGCCACTCCACTCCAGTCTGGGAAACAGAACGAGACTCTGTCTCAAAAAAAAAAAAAAAAAAAAAAAGTATTTTTATAGCATTTTTATATTTACAGAAAAATTGAACAGAAAATATAGAGTTCCCATATATACTCCCCCTTTCCTGACCCCCACAGCTTCTCCTGTTATTAACATCTTGCTTTAGTGTGGTACATTTGCAATTGATGAACCAATATTGATATTATTATTATTAATTTATGTATTTATTTTTGAGACAGAGTCTCACTCTGTCACCTAGGCTGGAGTGCAGTGGTGTGATCTTGGCTCACTGCAACCTCTGCCTCCTGAGTTCAAGCAATTCTTCCGCTTTGGCCTTCCGAATAGCTGGGACTATAAGTGTACGCCACCACGCCCAGCTAATTTTTGTATTTTTAGTAGAAATGGGGTTTCACCATATTGGCCAGGCTGATCTGAAACTCCTGATTTCATGATCCGCCTGCCTCAGCATCCCAAAGTGCTGGGATTATAGGCATGAGCCAGCAAACCTAGCTGATATATTATTTTTATTAATGAAAGTTTACATTAGGGTTCCCCCTTTATATTGTGCAGTTCTGTGGGATTTGACAAACACATACTTTTATGTCATATCTTGTCATGACATGTATCCACCATTATAGCATCATACAGAATAATTTCACTGCCCTATATGTCCTTTGTAGCTTTTTAATGTCTTTCACAGCACAGAATCAGGAAACATATTGCCCTTACAGTATATGTAAATATATATACAACCTCACATTTTACACACCATGATCAGGCAACAAACCTGTTGTGTGCTTTTCCAGGAAAAAAAAAAAAAAAAGCCTGATGGTTTCCAGCTGGGGTTTCACCATGTTGACCAGGATGGTCTCGATCTCTCGACCTCGTGATCCACCCGCCTCAGCCTCCCAAAGTGCTGGGATTACAGGCTTGAGCCACCGCGCCCGGCTCCAGCTAATTTCTAACAAACTCTCTGTTCTATAAAAAGCAGTCACTAATACAAGTATCCAAGCATCTAGCAATTACCTGGTATGGATTGACCTGTGTATTTATGTTAAAAATAACAAAGAGGATATGCTTCTATATTTCTGGGGCTGGAATTGAAGAATCCAGCAGAAAACAGAGGATCAAATTTCTACTCTCAATCTGTGCACTGGTTTATTTTTATCTTAGTTGGAATAACAAATATGAACTAAGATTTTTCCAGGAATCAGGCTTATCTTTTAGGATATAGCTCAAATATTATTACCCTTCGTTGTGGCCCCAAACCAGCTGCTTTTCCCTGCTGACCTTCAAAACATGTTTTTACCTATTTAACAAATATCTGCTCAGTACTTATTATATGACAGCCATAATATTTGGGATAGAGTAGCACATAGGGCAGACATGGTCCCTCCCTCATTACAGCATTGAGGGGCTTTCAAACATGCAGAAAATCACATTTGTTCCAAAAGCAGATGCACAGAATGCTATTGAAAGAAATCATGGGTACTCTAACTTTAGAGGAGGGGGCCTCAGGAAAGGCTTCCCTGAAGAAGGGACAACTACATTGAGATCTGAAGGATGGCTAAGACACAAGGACGGCTTACACAAAGCGGAGTAGGGAGAACAGTTTCCAAGAATAAGGGAGAGCATGTTCAAGTCACAGTATCAAGAGATCACCAGGCACAATTAGGAAATGAAAGAAATCCAGGGAGGTTGGAAGACAGAAAGCTAAGGAGAGGCTGGTTGAATGGGGTAGTAAGGGTGTCTGTCACAGGACATGTTGGGAATTTTTAACTTTCTTCTAAGGGTGATAAGAAACCATTGGATACTTTCAAGCTAGGGATTTACATAATCTGATTTGCATTCTTAAAAGATAGCTTTCCCTGTATAGTGTAGATTGGATCAGATGAGGGTAAGCACAAATGCAGGAAGAAAGATAAGAACCCTTACATTCTTTCAGGCAAGGAATGACATTAGCTTGGATGATTAGTCATGGCAGTGGGGAAAGGGAGATAAAAGGAGAAATAAGCACAGGTAGAAGTTCCAAGATTTGGGGAAGAGTTGGACAGTGAAGGGGAGGGGAGAGGGAAGAATTTCTGGATTAAGCACTTGCTTTGAAGGTGGAGGCATCATTCATTGACATTAGGAGCAATGGACCTGGATTGAAAAGGAAGTCATGAGTTCCGGCTAGACTTGCTGACTTGAGGTCCCTGCCGAATAGCCGAGTGGAGGTGTCCAGTTGGCTAATGTATTCACTGAGGTCTGAGGCTCCCAGAGAAGTCCTTATCAATGGACTTGAAGCAACAAGATGATTTTAGGTGTGCACAGAGCATGAAGGAAGAGTGTTTCTCATTGTGATCCTAACACATAGCAAATTGCAAACACCCCTTCCTCAATGGTGTCATCCTTTTGAATACACTGAGGAAAATGTCTCATTTAGTGGCTTTTTTTTTTTTGGACTCTCCCTCTGTCACCAGGCTCGAGTGCAGTGGCACGATCTCAACTCACTGCAACCTTTGCCTCCTGGGTTCAAGCAATTCTCCTGCCTCAGCCTCCCAAGTAGCTGGGACTAAAGGCACACACCACCATGCCCAACTAATTTTTGTATTTTTAGTAGAGACAGGGTTTCCCCATTTTGGTCAGGATGGTCTCCATCTCATGACCTTTGATCTGCCTGCCTCCGCCTCCCAAAGTGCGGGGATTATAGGCATGTGCCACTGCACCTGGCCTAGTGACCCCCCAACTTTTTCTTAAGAAAAAGAGAGTAACCTCAGGTTTAGTGCCTTCTGAAAAAAATTACATAGCTTTGTTTTTAGCATAGTAATTGTAATGTCTATTTATGATACTAGTCTTAAATTTTTGGTAGTTTTAAAGCTTCCTTTATAAATGCATTTATTAAGCACTGAATTGATGTTTTAAAATGTAAAGGAATCCAAAGTTCACCTGGCGCTTGGACATGGGAAAGACCAATCACATGGTATGTAAATAACTGAGCCTTGAGCCATATTTCTGGAGGATAGAACATTTGCTTTAATCCACAACGAATACTCAAGGGAGGGCCTTGTATATTAAGAAGGTTACTTTTCTAATTCCACAGTGGTCCAGGGAAAAAACTTAAGTCTTGAAGAGAGAGAGAGGTGGCTACCTTGTCAAGACTGGGTTGGTGTCCTTGAAGTCAGGACCATAACGAAAGCAAATGCATGCAGAGAATGTAGAAGATTAGGAAGAGCAAAAAAAAAAAAAAAAAAAAAAAAAAAGCCACTGAAACAGCATGTGATGCCGTCTTCAAAGAATACTGTGCTTTTAAATAGGAAGAACGTGTTCCTCATTGTGATCCTCACAGACTCCTTTTTCCCACTTTCTCTAAGCGACTATACAGCTTGATGTAGAGGCAGAGACACAGGAGATAACCCGGGGAAATACACTCCTACGGGCCAGGAGAACCACCAAGCGGTTATCTGTGACATCTCTTCCTTCAGGACTGCAAAAGGTAAAACGCTAAACAAATTGGCCTCTCAAGACTTACATGTAACTCAGTGTTTAGAGATTTTGCAAAAACCAAGTTCTCTCCTACCGTGACTCCTCCATAATAGGCCCTTTAAATCTGCTGTTTGTGTTTCCTCTCCAAGAATTTAGGGTACTCTCTGGGTCAGATTCCTTTACTTCTAAGCTCAAACTCTTCACCTTCTACTACATATGGGCAACAGTGGAGTTTGGATTTTTATACTGACTTTCTCACTCTTCAAATGTTAGTATATTAGCAATCTGGCCTATCTGTGCATACTATGTAGAGTGGAACTCATTAGACCAGCACTGTCCAGTGGAACTTTCTGTGAAGATGCAAGTATACATTGTCCAATATAGTAGCCATTAGCCACATTTGGCTTTGAGACTTTGAAATGTGGTCAGTTCAATTGAGGAACTGAATTTTCGATCTTTTTTTTTTTTGAGACGGAGTTTCGCTCTTGTTACCCAGGCTGGAGTGCAATGGCGCGATCTCGGCTCACCGCAGCCTCCGCCTCCTGGGTTCAGGCAATTCTCCTGCCTCAGCCTCCTGAGTAGCTGGGATTACAGGCACATGCCACCATGCCCAGCTAATTTTTTGTATTTTTAGTAGAGACGGGGTTTCACCATGTTGACCAGGACGGTCTCGATCTCTTAACCTCGTGATCCACCTGTCTCGGCCTCCCAAAGTGCTGGGATTACAGGCTTGAGCCACCGCGCCCGGCTCAATCTTAATTTTCATTGAAATTAAAATGTAAATAGCCACATGTACAACATAGAAAGTGCCCATAGTTGATCTAGGACTCTCCAAACCAAAGCTTTTACTTATTCATAGGTATGAATGGTTTTTGTTTGTTTGTTTTGAGACAGAGTCTCACTCTGTCACCCAGTCTGGAGTGCAGTGGCATGATTTTGGCTCACTGCAACCTCCTCCGTCTCCTGGGTTCAAGTGATTTTCCTACCTCAGCCTCCCATGTAGCTGGAAGTACATACAGGTGTGAGCCACCATGCCTGGCTAATTTTTGTATTTTTAGTAGAGACAGGGTATTGTCATGTTGGCCAGACTGGTCTAAAACTCCTGACCTTGTGATCCACCTGCCTCAGCCTCCCAAAGTGCTGGGATTACAGGCATGAGCCACTGTGACCAGCCAGGTATGCATGTTTGAGCCTAAATTGCTCAGATTATTTTTCAGAAATAGAACCATGAACTATTATTATTGTTTTAAATATAATAAGACTTACCTTAAAGTTATGTTCAAAACTCTGGTCTAAGTGCTTTAAAAATATCAACTTGGATAATCCTACAGCCCTGTAACATAGGTAGCAATATTAACCTTATTTTAGGGATGGTACTGAGAGTTTAATTTGTCCACGTAAGTGACAGAGCCAAGTTTCAAACCCAGAAAGACCTGGCTCTAGAGTCCTTAGTTGTAATTGGTATGCTATAGACTAACTGTACTGTCCAATATGCTAGTCAATAACTGAATGTGACTACTTACGTTAATTAAAAGTGCAGTTCCCCAATTGCACTAGCTACATCTCAAATGGCCAATAATCACACCTAGTTAGTGGCTGTCCTATACAGTACAGATAGAGAACATTTCCATCTTCACAGAAAGTTCCACTGAACAGTGCTGCTCTGGAACACCACTGTCAGAGTGCACTGATACTAGTTTTGATTTTTTGCCTTCTATGTGCTAGGTTCATATTTATTGTGCCCCTATTATGTTTTGGGCAGTTTGTATGTTTGGGGGCTATAGGGCGATCCAATGGACATGGTCTTGCTTCTGTGGAACTTACAGTTAAATAGAGGAGACAGACATTCAACCATGGTACTGCCCAGCAGTGGGATAAAGCTAATCTTTTGAACAAATGTTGCTGGAACAAGTGGGCATTCATATAGACAAAAAATGAAAATTGATCCCTATCTCACACCATATACAAAAATTAATTTCTGTTCTGTTATAGATTTAAGTGGAAAAGGCAAAAATCTTAAAATTTCTGAAGAACAGTAAGAATATTTTCATGACTTCAGAATAAAGACTTCTTAGGACACAAATAGCACTAACCATAATAAGGATAAAGATGGTGCAATTTAGCTATGATTAAGAATTTCTGTCAATCAAACAATGTTAGATCACAGGTTGTCAAGTAGCTATAAAAATGTTTTGTTTAGCCCTCAGAATATTCTCAAAAATATATCTGAATTGGCTGGATGGAGCGACTCATGTCTGTAATCCTGGTACTTTGGGAGGCTGAGGTAGGAGGATGACTTGAGCTCAGGAGGTTGAGACCAGCCTGGGCAACACGGCAAAACTCCATCTCTACAAAAAATATAAAAATTAGCCGGACATGGTGGTGCATGCCTTTAGTTCCAACTTTTCAGGAGGCTGATGTGGGAGGATCACCTGAGCCCAGGGAGGTCAAGGCTTTAGTGAACCATGATCACACCATGGCACTCCAGTCAGGGCAGCAGTGAGACCCCATCTCAATATATATATATCTTTGTATTTGAATTAATAGTCCATATTTATGGCCGGGCACGGTGGCTCAAGCCTGTAATCCCAGCACTTTGGGAGGCTGAGGCGGGTGGATCACAAGGTCAAGAGATCGAGACCATCCTGGTCAACATGGTGAAACCCCGTCTCTACTAAAAATACAAAAATTAGCTGGGCATGGTGGCGCGTGCCTGTAATCCCAGCTACTCAGGAGGCTGAGGCAGGAGAATTGCCTGAACCCAGGAGGCGGAGTTTGCGGTGAGTGGAGATTGAGCCATTGCACTCCAGCCTGGGTAACAAGAGCGAAACTCCGTCTCAAAAAAAAAAAAAAAAAAGTCCACATTTAAAAATTAGGATATTTCGAATAAAATTCTGGGTTTTCAACTTTCTTTTGAAAAATAAAAAGATTGGAAAATACTAGGCCAGTTTCTCACGGGAACAAGCAGGAGCTGCACCAACTTACAGCTGGAGGTGTGTTCTCTTCGGTCCACACCAACTCCAACTAGTCCTGCTTTACAAAATTTGCCTAGGAACTAGACTTTACAGTAGTTGTATTCAACAAACAGAGAAATAAGGTAGTAACTGCCAAGTATGCTAGATCAGATTAGAGAAGGTTCTGCAAGTGACATTTGAGCTGGGTCAAGCTGGCAGGGCAGCAGTGGTTCAGCAGACTCCATTTGTAAAGGCAAAGGGTAGGACCCAGATGTGGTCCCATATCCTACATTGTGTAGGTCTCACAATAGTCGTAAAGCTAATCATTAAGCACAAGGGGAAGGAAGAGTGAACTAAATAGGACTAAAAAAGGCATATTAGCTTGGAGCCATGACCTAGGAATGATTTCTAATTGCAACACTATTAGGACAGGTACTTGTAACCAGTAAGTCAGGGACAATGGGAAAAGTATCAGGCATGGGGTAAAAAGAACCTAGAGCTTTCTTTTTATGTTTGAAGACATGCCTGCCATGAAAATAAGGAAACCTGCAGAAACGAGACCGAATTAACAACTAGACCCACTAATAATGAGCTTTCTGGGGCACTGGTCCACAACAGCCCCACACTCTCACTGTGCTCAGTAGCTGCAGAGGCAATTTCTTCTTCTTCCCCTTACAAATGACCTGCTTTTTTCCTGATGCTGTATATTCTTTCAGAGCCAGACAATCTCATTTCTCTGCACCCTATAGATCTCTTCAAAGAGAGCTCTGGACACAAAGAAGATACGTAGGACCTGGAGAATAGTATGAATACAGTCTCCAACCCAATGTTGTTATGTGGCAAATGTTCAGTTTATAAGAGAATGTCCCAAGGGTGAGGATTCTTGTTTAAGCACCATTAAGAAATAATGTTGGTAGTTCCTAATCTGATGTGTTTTGCATTTTTACCATAGGGGCCATATTCATCAAAAAAGAGACCACACTTTCCAGCACTTAAAAAAAAGAAGCATCGCATGGAAAACATCCTCCGAAAATCTGATTTGACAGTAGGAAAGCTTCAAATGCAGGTAGTGGACAAAGGCTTTTAACTTTTGTCTCAGAAGCATCAGAGCCAGGCTTAACCGAACACACAGCCCTGGTAGACAGCATGGGTATAGGATGAAATTAATGATTAGCATCAAGAAATAATGCTAGCAGCAGGAGGGCATTCTGAAAGTGGCTAAAGGCTTGCTAAGGACACCTAGAATAATGCTATGTACCTGATAAATATTAAATGAATTCAATTAAAATGAAGGCATAGGTTTCTTTTCAGAAGAACTGAAGTTGTGTTTATCACTGGGTGGTTAATGTATGTATTCAAGCTCCATTTGCTATGACTTGAATTAGAATAACATTTTAAGACTTGCAAAATATCCACCAATTCCTGAACTCATTCATCTCTTAGGAAAAGCAACTATCTCTTTGATTTTGACAAGGCATTCCAACACATGGCTTCATTTCTTTGTATTTGTCATAGGTGGATGACCTCATAGAAACAGTGACTGATAAATCCATGAAGCTATTGGCCCAAAGACATGCTGAGCTTCAACAGTGTGAGTTTCTAGGGGATGAAATTCTTCAGTCTTCTAAGCAGTTCCAGAGGATATCCAAGAGAACCATGAGGAAGTATAAATTTAAAAATGTGTGTTTCCCATGTACCTGCTGCTGCTTCTGACTTTGTCCCTGACTCGTTTAACAAGTTATCTTCCCTAGGCCGATCGTGGTGGCTTACACCTGTAATCTCAGCACTTTGGGAGGCCAAGGTGAGGGATTACTTGAGGTCACGAGTTCAAGACCAGCCTGACCAACATGGTAAAACCCCATCTCTACTAAAAAAACAAAAATTAGCCACATGAGGTTCTGGGTGACTATAATCCCAGCTACTCAGGAGCCTGAAGCATGAAAATTGCTTGAACCTGGGAGGCAGAGGTTGCAGTGAGCAGAGATCGTGCCATTGCACTCCAGCCTGGATGACAAAGCAAGACCCTGACTCAGAAAAGAAAAAAAAGATAAATGTATTTTTAATTCTGGGTCAATATAGCAAATGTTTGTTTCATAATTCTTACTAATAATGGAAAACAGAAGCATTTGTCATAGCACAGCAATTCTACAAAGAAATTTCTCCCATGACTTGCCAGATGAAATCAGAGGAAGCATTTATAGGTATTATGACACTTTTAATATGACTACAACTGAGTTAATTTTAAACTTTCATTTTTAAAGACAAAAATTCTTATGAAAATTACAAAAATGTAACTATCATTAAGGTATGATTCATGCAAAGTGTCATGTTCCTAACTAAAATAAATGGATAAGGATGGAGCTGAACAAGTATTACACACGTAATTCAATACTTAAGAAAATTACAAGTGATTCACTCTTAGCTTAATTTAAAAAAATATTATAAATTCTTTATGTAAGACAATCATTTTTTGTTTGTTTGTTTGAGATGGAGTTTTGCTCTTGTTGCCCAGGCTAGAGTGCAATGGTGTGATCTTGGCTCACCACAACCTCCGCCTACTGGGTTCAAGTCATTCTCCTGCCTCAGACTCCTCAGTAGCTGGGATTACACGCATGCGCCACCATATCCGGCTAATTGTGTATTTTTCTTTTTAGTAGAGATGGAGTTTCTTTATGTGGGTCAGGCTGGTCTTGAACTCCTGACCTCAAGTGACCAACCCCACCTCAGCCTCCCAAAGTGCTGGGATTACAGGTGTGAGCCACCACAGCTGGCCTATGAAAGACAATCTTAACAAACTATTTATTTCAAACAACTCTTCATTTTATCAACATATTTTTTCTATTGAAAATGATTACTAAAGGACAAAACAATAGAGAAAACAGATCAACAAAACAAGAATAATATTATTCACATATTAAGAGAGATATAAAAGGCATATTATTTTACTTTGCATCTTATAATTACCTCTCATGCCAGTGACTTTTAAAAGCATGAAACCTTTCCCCATAATAAGCACATACCACAAACATTTTGCATGTAATTTCACAGGTTCATGGCCCTCCTAAAGCCTCTTCATAGACTCTGTTTTCAGAAGTGTAATTATTTCTAGAAATTGGCCCATTTTCCCATGTACATCCTAGAAACGCCAACTTCTAACCATCTTCAACTTATTTTGTAAGCCAATCAATGTTACCGGTTAAAAACTACCTAGAATATTAATGAGCACAAACATATCCAGCTTAAAAGCATTTTATTAAGCATATTTAGATGTTGCTTCCTACCTTTTAAGAATAAAAACTGCCTTTTAATTAAAAAATCTATACTAAAGTCATTTTTCTTTGTGTGAGGAAATATGAATGAAATGTACATTCATATTTAAAAACAGAGTATTGTACTGCCAAAACTTTAAATATCTCAAGAGCACACCACGTTTTAAACACATTATATTCATGCAGCTATTTCAATATTCTTGGGAATGGTGGGCAATTAGCCTATCTATGGCTTAGGATCTGTTTCCATGCTTTCGTCCTGAGCTTCTTCTACCTCTGAGAGTTTTTCATCATCTGTAATTGAGAAGGAAACATAAAACCTTAGCCAAGTTTGCCTACATTTTATATTTAATGAACACATGAAAACATGTTTATCCTTTATTAACCAATACAATTAAAGCAAAGATGGCTACTAATTGAATCAAACTGTAAAATTTATGTGATAGATTTCACTTAAAAAAAAAAAAAAAAATTCTAGGCAGGGTGTGGTGGTGGCTCAAGCCTGTAATCCCAGCACTTTGGGAGGCCAAGGCAGGTGGATGACCTGAAGTCAGGAGGTTGAGACCAGCTTGGCCAAAATGGTAAAACCCTGTCTCTACTAAAAATACAAAAATTAGCTGAGCATGATGGCATGTGCCTATAATTACAGCTACTCGGGAGGCTGAGGCATGAGAATCACCTGAACCTGTGAGGTTGGGATTGCAGTGAGCCAAGATTGCACCACTGCACTCCAGCCTGGATGACAGAGCACGAATTGTCTTAAAAAAAAAAAAAAAAAAAAAAAAAAAATGGGTCTTAGGCTGTTCTTGAAAACAATCAGAAGATCAGGTAACACAGAATTTCCAGCTATCTACGGTGAATATAAAGAGCAAGTCTCCAGTTCCCCAAAGCACCCAGCACTCAGTGGGTATGCAAATGTTCTTAGGTACTGATTCCTTATTATTGCCTGCCTGGATCCTGAGTTGTTACATTATAGGAATCTACTACAGTGAACCAAGAAAAACTCCAAATCTATCATCCTTCAATTTCTCTTAATTTAAACCACTAGATATATCTTTGAATCTAGTACAAATTAAGACTTTTCTACACATATTCAAGAAAGTTGAACATAAGTATCTTCTAATGTCATCTAGCTATACTGTTCAGAAATTGAAGGTATATTCTCTCTCCAAGAAACATATTTCAAAAGGTACATCCCTGACTCATTTAAAAAATCTTCATAAACATTTATTTTGAGACTATTTCTACTTACTTTCCAATGTTTGCTGAAGTTCATGGATGGTACTAAGAAGAACGTGAAACTGTTTCCGTCTCAATTCCAGCTGTGTTAACAAGAAAAAAATTTATACAAATGATTATCTATATATATATAGATATATATGATGATCTATATATAGATAGATAAATCACAAAGGCTAAATATCTATGCAAATACCTTATCTTCAACACTTTCTTTAATATGTGAGAGATGTTCTAATTCTTTTCCCAGAGCTTCTAGTTCCCTGGAAATAATAAAACAGTGTTACATTTTGCTGAATGGGGGAAAATAATTTACAATTAATAACTAACTTCTTAGTTTAGTAGATAGAATTTTAAAAATACAATTAAAAAAACTTCTAAGGAGTTATAACACTACATTATGGTGAGACTTTCAAAAATGATGATTTCTTCTTAACTTTTAAATATGGACTTAATTAAAATTACATTTTTGGATAAATTTTTAAAGTACAGAAAAATACAGATAATAGAATAACAAGACCCAAGAAATGATACATACTGCAGAGCTTAACTTCAAGGGTCTTTTTTTGTAAAAGAAATAAAACATTGCCAATGAACTCAAAATACCCATTGAACCTTGCCCCTAGTCCTCTCTCCTGGGCCTTTTTCTTTCTTCTACCTCCAACTCAGGCAACCACTGTATCATTCTAATCCTTTTTTATACATATACTTGTATCACTGAATAATATACAGTATTGGCATATAATATTTGAAAGGGGGTTCTAACTTTTATAAATTGTTATTATTCTATATGTGTTTCAGGAATTTAATAATAATTTAAAATTTATTATGTGTTTTTTCACTGATTATGTTTTGAGGAGTGTGTTTTAACAATACATAACTAGTTTATTCTTTTTAACTGAAATTTAATATTTTAATATATGAAGAACACATTCTATTTGCCCACTCTATTTGTCCATATTACATGCATTTATTTTAGACATATAGGTGGTAAGGTCGGAGGAGAATAAATCTAACAGAGAAGTATTGGAAAATATAATGACGAAGATCTGACCCCTCCTTTTGAAACATATTTATTTCTGCAAAAATGAAATGCCTAGGGTAGTATATGAGCATTTAGGTATAAAGGTTAGTTCCTTTCAAAGTAAAGCTCTACACTTACTTTAATGTCTCATGCCTGTCTGGATGATGCTGGATCACTTTTGCCAAAGCATCATATTCTGAAAGACATAAAAATGTTTATCAAACTAAGGGCTTATCAAAACAAAATGTGTAATATCACAAGCCTCTCCTAATCACTTCCCTAGTACATCAAGAAATGAAATCATTGAAAGATGAGTATTAGGCCGGGCACGGTGGCTCAAGCCTGTAATCCTAGCACTTGGGGAGGCCGAGGCGGGTGGATCACGAGGTCAAGAGATCGAGACCATCCTGGTCAACATGGTGAAACCCCGTCTCTACCAAAAATACAAAAAATTAGCTGGGCATGGTGGTGCGTGCCTGTAATCCCAGCTACTCAGGAGGCTGAGGCAGGAGAATTGCCTGAACCCAGGAGGCGGAGGGCGGAGGTTGCGGTGAGCCAAGATCGCGCCATTGCACTCCAGCCTGGGTAACAAGAGCGAAACTCCGTCTAAAAAAAAAAAAAAAAAAAAAAAAAAAAAAATTAATTCAAGTTCTACTTTCTGCTCCACTGAGACCTCCAAGATAAGTCATGTAACTCCTATTAAACTTTCTTCTGAAGTGATGAATGACAGGATTTACTTAAAAGCCTCATTAACCAACAAAAACACTGCAAAATATTTTTAAATGACTTTAGAACGGATACTAAGTTGGTATATCTTACTGTAAATAGGGCACTAAAGCTTCACCGCACACATTTTAGACTGAAAAAATAAGCTTTTAAAAAGAGGAAATTAAGCTTCATCTTAATTAGCTAATTAAAAAGTAAAATTCATTGTTTTAGAACTGATCATATTAATTCAATAAAAGTATGATTTTTTGAATACAAATTTTTTGAATTACAAAATAATACATGCCCTGTGTAAATTAAAACAAAGCAAAACCAGAGAAAAGAACCTAAGCCATAAAAACCCACCACTTCAAAATAACCGCTAACATTTTCTATTTTCTTCTAGTTTTTCATATCCATGTAACAATTGTGACTATAAATTATGATTTTTTTTTTTTTTTTGCTTTTCTTCAATTTACATTATAGGAGTAGTGCCTCTAACATTAAACATTATCTGGAAATAGCATTTAGGAACTACATAAGAACATACTCTAACTTAAAAACAAGAGATTATAACAAAACTCAATTTTAACTTTCTAATTAGATATTCTAGATGGTCTATAAATGTTTGCTTGCTTCATAGTTAGTGAAAACTCACAGAGTTTAAATTCTTTTCCATTTCATTTTTTGAAAAGTAGCTCTATTAAACAAACAAAAAAAACCCCAAATCATATATCTAGTGTATTTATGTAAATTGCCTCTGCTGATTAACTATAACCTTATTTAGGCAAAAAGGTCCAAGATGGTAAAAATTTAATGCTGAAGAAATACTGGGAAAAGGGAAAAAAAAGGAGAAAAACAGAAAAGAAATACTTGGATAATCAGCGTAATCCAGCAAAAACATTTTTTTCAACACAGACTTCTTCCTCTATTTTAAAGAACAATATAGTTTTAAGGAATTAAATTTGGATAATTTTTTAAAAATCCAGGTTGATTCAGGCTGAAGATTTTTCCTCACAACATTAAAAACTGCATGAAAATAGTAGTCAGTAACAAAGTATTTGCACATTAAATCCCTCAAAACCCTTACCTTGGCGATTTTTTCGTATTCGTTTTGCTTGAAGAATTTGCTTTTTGCACTCAGCAATTTTTTCATGTGCTCCAGCAATGCTACATTCTATATAAGAAGGTTTTTAAAACATAGTTGTAACAATATCAATAATCCATGTTTAATTTTAAAATGCATTTATAAATTAAATTCTATTGCTAACAAAATAGACACTAGTATTTTTAAAAAAAGCTGTAACCCAAAGTACCATATCATATTAGAATGCACATTTTTGTAGCTAACATTTGCTGTATTCTTTCCATTAATACTGCAATTATTATTCTTTTACCACCAAAGAAAATTGTTAGCAGATATTGTTTCCTTTACACCATACAAAATAAAATTGCAGATAGAAACATTAATATTCTTTACCTATTTCCTTGTAAATTTTTTCATAATTTTCCATTTCTCTGAGATTCATATCATATACTAGTAAAGTTTTGCCCATTGAAAATTCACATTGAGACAGTGTGCTCAGCATACGCTGGTACTGGCTATATCTAATGAGAAAGAGAGAAAACCAAAATAAAGATGTTTGTAGATTGACAAAACTGAGCTATTATAATGCAGGCAAATATTTGCTAATTAAATTATACCAAGTTCTGAGAGAGTCATTTGCTTATTTAAAATAATTCAGAATATCTGTTCCTTAAGTTTTCTTTTTATCAAACGTAGCACACCTGAATTTATAAACTAGTTACACATGCAAAAATGAGACTATTGTTCTTATCAATATATGCTTTCTTCAATTATTTGCATTTTGTTTAAAATACATTATGAATTTTTTATCTTCATAATTCTGTCTCCACAATTTACTCTATAAAATTATTTATGTGAAAAGCAAAGTTTTCTCTCTCTCTCTCTCCATACACACACACACACACACACACACACACACACACACACACACACACACACACAGTTGGGCATGGTAGCTCATGCCTGTTAATTCTGGCATTTTGGGAAGCCAAGGTGGGCAGATCACTTGAAGCCAGGAGTTTAACATCAGCCTGGCCAACATGGTGAAACCCCATCTCTACTAAAAATACAAAACTTAGTCAGGCATGGTGGTACATGCCTATAATCCCAGCAACTCGGGAGGCTGAAGCACTTGTACTGCTTGAACCTGGCAGGCAGAGGTTGCAGTGAGCCGAGATTGCACGATGACACTCCAGCCTGAGTAATAGAATGAGACTCTGTGTCCAAAAAAAAAAAAAAAAGATTATATGTGTGTGTGTGTGTGTGTGATGTATCAGGTTGGTGCAAAAGTTAAAGATATTGGCAAAAACCACAATTACTTTTGTGCCAACTTAGTACATACGTATACTTATTAAACACTTATATCCTAATGGGTCTGAATTTAATCTTCATTTCTCCTTTCCAATCTGCCTTCTCTATGTTTTATTAAACATATGGGAGGCCTCTGAAGAAAAGAAAAGGCCAAGAAAATTTACTCTTCATTAAGTAAGAGTTGACTCCACTGGACATTTAAGGTGAGTGAAAATTTGATCTATTCACAGGACCTTAATGTATGGGCTAAAATCACGTTAGGACATTGGTATAGAAACAACAGTGAAATAAAATACCCTTCTTCCTGGGACCCAGAGTTGCACCATTTAATGAAACTCTTCACTAGCAGATTAATTCTCCGATCATCTCCAGCACCATCTCCATCAATGAGGAGACGCTTCCGTATGACTTCGTCTGCAGGAAAGAAGGGCAATGTTACCATCTGGCTCTTGGTAACTTTCAAATACAAATAACCAATATCACTGTTCAATTGTTTATCCAAAAGAAAATTATTGAAATGTAAATGTATTTAATACCACTGAACTGTACACTTAAAAATGGCTAGCTAAAAAGGTAAATTTTATTTTATGCATATTTTATGATATTGCATATAATAAAAATATTTATATAGTAAAGAAAAAAAAGTTATTGCATGACTACCGTGTGTCAGGTACTGTTCTAGGGGCTGAAATAATAGCAGTAAAAAGACATCCTTACAGAGTTGGCAGTCTACTGGGTTGTTGAGTGGAAATAATTTTCAGACACAATCAAGGAAATAAGCCAATCATTCTTAGAGAACCTTTTGTGAAATAATTTGCCCAGACAAGACAGAAATCCAATGTTTATGTCTCTGGCCAGTAAGAGGCACTGATAAAAGGAATAGATAGGAAATATTTAAAAGATGTAGTGGCAAACTAGGAGAAAAGAATGGGTCAGGGAAAAAGGAATGAATTTGTTAAATAAACATGTAATTTAAGGCTAGGTGTGGTGGCTCATGCCTATAACCTTAACAGTTTGGGAGGCTGAGGTAGGAGTATCGCTTGAGCCCAGGAGTTCCAGACCAGCCTGAGCAACACAGTAAGACTCTGACTCTACAAAAAATAAAAATTAGCTGGGTGTGGTGGCATCTGCCTATTAGGCCCAGTTACTTGGGAGGCTGGGGAAGGAGGATCACTTGAGCCTGGGAGATCAAGGTTGCAGTGAGGCATGATCTCACCACTGCACTCAGTGCCTATAGGCAACAAAGTAAGATGCTGTTTCCAAACAAATAATATATATCATATGTTATAAATATACATAATATTTATATATTATAATTCACAAATATTTATATTATAAATATATAATATATAATATATATTATTTATACATTATTTATATAACATATTTTATTTATACAAATATAAATATGTATAATATACATGCATATCATATATAATATATATTATAAATATACATATTATACACATACATATATTTTATTTATATATATAGTTATAGTTATCTGTAAGGTTTCTTTCCCCATGAGAATTTTTTTTTTAACAACACTCTCTGACTTCTGCCCCAAAGAAAGGAATAAGAGAGAAAAGAAAAAGCAGTGTAGATGACAATGATGACCAACAAGTGGGGTCCCAATATATCTGCCTGGCAGTTCTGAGCTAGTGTTCTTACCCAGACAAAATGATCCTGGATCATAACAAGAGCGAGACAAATTAAAACCACAGTAAAATATAATTTTTCACCTAATAGATAAGCAAAAATCAAAAGATCTGATAAAACTGTTGGAAAAGGTGTTAGAAAACTGCACTTTTTTTTTTAAGCAGGCTTACTCTGTCGCCCAGGGTAGAGTGCAGTGGCACAATCTCAGCTCACTGCAACTACTACCTCTTGGGTTCAAGCAATTCTGCAGCCTCAGTCTCCCGAGTAGCTGGGACTACAGGCGCCTGACATCATGCCCAGCTAATTTTTGTATTTTTAGTAGAGATGGGGTTTCGCCATACTGGCCAGGTTGGTCTTCAACTCCTGACCTTGCGATCTGCCCACCTCAGCCTCCCCAAGTGCTGGGATTACATGCATGAGCCACCGTGCCGAGCCAGAAAACTGCACTTATATACACTAGTAAAATGTAAACTGGTAATTCTTTGTAGGGCCACTGAACAGTAACAAATAAAACGAAAAACACACATATCCTTCTGACCCCATAATTCCAATTCCAGAAATTTGTCCTATATATGTGCACCCATGCACAAAGACAGAAATAAAGGGGTTCTTAGTGGTCCTATTTGTAGTAGAAAGATTGCAAACCTATTCATCAATAAGAAACTGGTTAAATGATAAAACATTCACATAATAGTATGAGCCAAAAAAATAGTGTAGATATATATACTGATACCAGAAAACTCTCCTTAGATATGTTAGGTAAAATGAAAACAAAACAGGTGTAGAGAAGCATACACAATATGTTGCCATATGTACGAAAAAAGGAGGCTTTGGGTGTGCATGTGCATGTGTGTATTCAGAGACTATCCTTGGATGGATACTCAAGAAACTTGGAATACGGGTTATTTCCAGTAAAATGGACTACAGATAGAGGTGGGAAAAGAATTTGCCTGCATGTCTTAGTAGAACTTGGGGTTTTCTCTTGTTTTTTTACAGTATGCATTCATTATTTTTAAAAATATTATATTATTATTATTTTTTGAGATGGAATCTCACTCTATCGCCAGGCTGGAGTACGGCGGCGTGACCTCGGCTCACTGCAGTCTCCGCCTTCTGCATTCAAGTGATTCCCCTGCCTCTGCTTCCCAAGTAGCTGCGTGCACCACCAGGTTCGGCTAATTTTTTCTATCTTAGTAAAGATGTAACCATGTTGGCCAGGATGGTCTCCATCTCCTGACCTCATGATCTGCCTGCCTTGGACTCCCAAAGTGCTGGGATTACAGGCGTGAGCCACCGTGCGCAGCCTCATTATTTTTCAAAAATAAATTTTAAAGTATGAATAATTCCTAGAGAGCCTGCATATTGAAATAACAGCAAAATCTTTAAACAATAGTTCCTGTGTGTGGGCAGAAGTATTTCTGAGCGCAGGTGCAGTGGAGATAAGCTTTGGAAGGCAGATGGCTCTAGTTTTAAAATATATTCTGTGATAACATCAAATAAACATTTTTAGAATTGGGTTTGGTTCTCAGAGTCATGGCTTTGACAGACTGCTCAAGCTACATATTCACCAAGTGTTTTAATTTTACATTTAAAAAATACAAACTAATGCTTTCAGTTTTTTAACCAACAATATTATCTGAAGAGATTGAGACAAATAAAACAGTCCTGGCCAGGCGCAGGGGCTCATGACTGTAATCCCAGCACTTTGGTAGTCCAACCAAGGCAGGCAGATCACGAGGTCAGGAGTTCGAGACAGCCTGGCCAACATGGTGAAACCCTGTAATACAAAAAATTAGTTAGGCATGGTGGCAGATGCCTGTAATCCCGGCTACTTGGAAGGCTGAGACAGAAGAATTGCTTGAACCCAGGAGGCGGATGTTGCAGTGAGCAGAGATCGTGCCCTTGCACTCCAGCCTGGGCAACAGAGCAAGATTCCATCTCAAAAAACAAACAAACAACAACAATAACAAAAAAAAAAAAAAAGTCCTTGAAGAGATTAAAATGCAGAAAATAAATATTAATAGAATTTTCTTACTACAAACATTTTAACTTTATCAAAGGAAGTATCTAGTGGGTGAATCAGGTGGCACTGGTGCTATCCAACAGCTCCTTTGCTAGTCTTATCTGTGTTCCTCTGAAGTCTCCAAAAAATACCATTTTCTTCCTATATGCCTAGACCTCCAGCTATGTTGACAACTGGGGATTTCAAATGTAAATGAATTCATGTAATAGGCAAACAACATCTGAGGCAAACTGGGGAGTGAATGCCCTGACTGAGAGGAAAAATATTAACAGATCTAAGAGATTAATGTTTGATGCGATGGTTTGAATGTCTCCTCCAAAACTCAGGTCGATATTTAACTGTGATTAAAATGACCTGAACAGACAATTCTCAAAAGAAGACATACAAATGGCCAAGAGGTATATGAAAAAATTCTCAACATTACTAATCAGGGAAATGCAAATCAAAACCACAGTGAGATACTGCCTCACCCCACTGAGAGAGGCTACTAGCAACAAGGTAAACAATAATAAGTGTTGGTGAGGATGTGAAGGAAGTGGAACTCTTATATACTATTGGTGGGAATGTAAACTAGTACAGCCATTATGGGAAAAAGATGGGAGAGTCCTCAAAAAACTGAAAATATAAGCTGGAGAATTCACAGCCTAAAAGTCCACACATCAATGAGTGAATGAATAAAATGTACTATCTATACACCATAGAATACTACTCAGACATAAAAAGTAATGAAATAATTGTTTGGGCATGGCGGCTCATGCCTATAATCCCAGCACTTGGGGAGGCTGAAGCGGGTGGATCATCTGAGGTCAGGAGTTCGAGACCAGCCTGGCCAACATGGCAAAAGCCCGTCTCTACCAAAAATACAAAAATTAGCTGGGTGTGGTAGCGTATGCCTGTAATCCTAGCTACTGGGGATTATAGTAGTTAGGATCTCCTAGGCTGAGGCAGGAGAATTGCTTGAACCTGGTACGGTAGGCGGAGGTTGCAGTAAGCCTAGACCAAGCCACTGCACTCCAGCCTGGGCAATAGAGCAAGACTCAGTCTCAAAAAAAAAAAAAAAAAAAAAAAAAAAAAAAAGAATGAAATACTGTCTGTTACAGCAACCTGGTGGAGGTCATTATTCTAAGCGAAGTAACTCAGGAACTACCACATGTTCTCACATTATAAATGGGAGCTAAGCTATGAGAACACAAAGACATACAAAGTGACATAATAGACTGAAGATTCAGAAGGCAGAGGTTGGGAAAGGGGTGAGGGGAAAAAAAAAACTATACTAGGTACATTGGATATAAATACACTACTCATGTAGTGTACTACATGTGTGATAGTGCACTAAAATTTTAGCATTCACCACTGATAGAATTTATCCATATAACCAAAAATCACTTGTACCTCAAAAGCTATTGAAAATAATAAAATTAAAATTTTACAAAGTGGAAAAAAATATGAGCCAGGCACAGTGGCTCATTTCTACCATCCCAGCAACTCAGGAGGCTGAGGTAAGGGGACTGATAATTGATTGAGGCCAATAATTCGAGACTAGCCTGGGTAACATAGTAACACTATGTCTTTAAAAAAAAAAAAAAAAAAAAAGTCACCCTTGGTGGTGTGGACCTGCAGTTCCAGCTACTTGGGAGGACTGCTTGAGCCCAGAAGTTTTGAGGATGCAGCAGTGAACTATGATTGTGTCACTACACTCCAGCCTGGGTGACAGAGCCAGACTCTTATTGTTTTTTTTGGAGACAGGGTCTGGCTCTGTCATCCAGGCTGGAGTGCAGTTGCATTATCTCAGCTCACTGCAACCTCCAGCTACTGGGTTCAAGCCATCCTCCCACCTCAGCCTCCCGAGTAGCAGAAACTAGTTTCATCCATGCTACCCAGGCTGGTCTCAAACTCCTGAACTCAATCGATCCGCATGCCTCACCCTCCTAAGAGCTGGAATTACAGGCATGAGCCTCTTCGCATATATATATATATATATATATATATATATATATTTTTTTTTTTTTTTTTCCCTCATTCTTTTGTCCAGGCTGGAGTACAGTGGCATGATCTCAGTTTACTGCAACCTCCATCTCCTGGGTTCAAGCAATTCTCCTGCCTCAGCCTTCTGAAAAGCTGGGAATACAGGCATGTGCTACCATGCCCAGCTAATTTTGTATTTTCAGTTGAGATGAGGTTTCACCATGTTGGTTAGGCTAGTCTCGAACTCCTGACTTCAAATGATCTGCGTACCTTGGCCTCTTAAAGTGCTGGGATTACAGGCATAAGCCACTATGCTAGGCCTCAATAATTTTTTAAATTAAAAATAGAACTACCATATGATCCAGCAATCCCACCACTGGTTATGTGTCCAAAGGAAATAAAATCAGTATGTCAAAGAGGTATCTGTACTCCAACATTTATAGCAGCCTTATTCACAATAGCCAAGGTATGGAATCAACTTAGGTGTTTACCAACAGATGAATGAAAAAAAAAAAAAAAATGTGGATGTGTGTGTATACACATACACACACACACACATACATACACAATGAAATACTATTCAATTATAAAAAGGAGGACAACCTGTCATTTCAACGACATGGATGAACCTGGAGAACATTTAAGTGAAATAAGCTAGGCACAGAGAAACAAATAATGCATAATCACACTCATATATGGAATCTAAAAAAAAAAAAAAAATTGGTCTCACAAAAGTAGAGAATATGATGGTGGTTATCAAAGGCGGGGGTGGCTAGGGAGAGGGAGTTGGGGAAGTGTTGGTCAAAAGATACATACTTACAATTAGGAGGAATAAATTTCAAGAGATCTAATTGTACAGCAAGGTGACTATAGTTAATTATCATTAATAATTAACTATTATTAATGTATTATTAATGTATAGTTAATATATTGTATTCTTGGAAAACATAAAAACAGTGAACGTTATATGCTCTCACCACAAAAATGATAACTCTGTGAGGTAATGCATTTGTTAATTAGCTAGTTAACGATTCCACAATGTATATATACTTCACATATATACTGTCAGTTTAAAATAAATATATAAAAAAGAAGGAAATTTAATTGCCATCGTGCTGATATTAAGATGGGGAACTTTGAAGAGGTGATTAGGTCATTAGGGCTTTTATGCAGCTATTGTGGACAGGTTTGTAATCTTGGAGTGAGCTCCTGATAAAAGGGTGAGTTCAGCTCCATTTCCTTTCTCAATCTCACACTCTCCTTTGCCATATGATACCTTTTGCCATGTTATGACACAGCAAGAAAGCCCTCACCATATTTGGCTCTTTGACGTTGAATTTCCTACGCTCTAGAATCATGAGACAAACTTCTATTGTTTATAAATTATCCGGTATTCTGTTACCGCAGAGGAAAACAGAATAAGATGGAAAATTGTACTGGCTGTTGCTGTAACAAATACCTGAAAATGCGGAAGTGGCTTTGGACCTGGGTAAGGGGTAGAAAGTGGAAGAGTTTTGAAGTGAAAGCTGGGCACAGCCTATATGGCTGTGAATGGAATACTGAAGGCAATTTGGCCAGGGCTCAGAAGACTTTAAACTAGGGAGAGCTTAAATCTTCTTAAGAATTCCTTAAGTGGATGTGATTACAATGTTGGTAGAAATATGAATGATAAAGGCCATTTTGATAAGACCTCAGATGGAAATGGGGAACATGCTATCAGAAACTGTAGTAAAGGCCATTGCTGTTGCAAAGCAAAGAAATTGGCTGAATAGTTGCAAAGAACTTGGCTGAACTGTGTATATGTCTTAGGAGTTGATGGAATGCAGAACTTAAGAGCAATGAACTAGAATATGTAGCAGAAAAAAACATGTAAGTAGCAAAGCATTCAGGCTGCTGTGTGCCTTTTAACCATGTACAGTCAGATGCAAAAGGGAAGAAATGACTTAAAGATTATTTACAATAAAAAGAGAAACAGAAAAAAAGAATCAGAAAATTTGCTTCCTGGCCACACAAAGAATGAAAAAGTGTGTTAGAGAATAGGAAGGGTGCAGCCAAGCAAAGGATTTGCTAAATAGATTAGTATGCGTAGAAGGAAACCAGTTGTTACTAATCAAGGCAATGAGAAGAAGACCCTAAAGGCATTCTGAAGATCTTTGAGGCTGGGCCACATATTCTATTTCATGAAATGAAGTGTTGCCCAAGTCTATAATCATAAAGACAACTGAGATATTTAAACTAAGTTTGTTGTAATTTTGTCTTTTGACAGATGTCCACAAAAGGGCCCGGAGATAGCTGATGACCTGACTCCTTGAGGAACACAGGAAAAGGTGATGCTAACCTTCTTCTGTTGGAGGCTAGGGGGCATTGCCTCCTTCACCAAGCCCTGAGGGTCGTTAAGTCCCTCTCAGATCTGAGCTCTGCTCTCTTAAGCATTTAAGCTCCTTGATATCTTTGGCTTTGGGGTTATCAAGGTTAGTTTGTGCTGAGAGATAGCATTTGACTTTGGGGTACTTAGGGTTAGTTTGTGCTGTGGCAGGGCACATGACTTTTGGGTTCATAGTGGCTGACAAGTCACTGGTAAGGGCTATATTTTTTTGGCCTCCACTCTGGTGATATCTCATGCATGATGCTATAAAAGGCTTGAGTCAAACCCTGAAGAATGTGGCTGGACAGAAATATGGGTTGCATCCCATTGACGACCAGCATACGGCCAGAGGGAAATGTGGGTTACAGTCTTTGTGGCTAACATACAGGGCTGCAGTAGTAAAGGTAACCAACAGCAGTCACAGTAAGTGGTTATTACTAAGGGGTGGAGAGGGGCATGAACTCTGGCTTTTGGAATTCATAGGTATGTGTGTTCTTTTTTCTTACATGTTTAGATGAGGGAGGCCTCAGGCATCTGACTGAGTCAGACAAAAAAGACAGAAACTGAAAAGTCATTAGCTAAGTTGGTCAAGGTGATCTCAAAGCCAAAGCCATTTTGGGTTTGAAAGACCCAATACCCAACATAAAATGGTTTCCTTAATTTCTAAAGATCTGCGTACCTCACCTTCTGGCCAATCTGACTTTTTTGTCTATAAGGTTTCTGGTTCTAAAAGCCACAAATATTTACAAATGGCAAAATCTTACAAAAGATAATACAGAATTATAATGCCATTACATGGAATGTTCCAGATGAAAAAGACTATTCATCTAAGAAGTGCACTTAAACCTCGAGCATCCCAAATTAGGCAGAGAGAACAGAATTCTTATCGGCATTCAGAAGCCTCAAAGAGTACTCTAAAATCATGTTTTAAAAAGATTCACTGTAATGGCCTGGTGTGGAGGCTCATGTCTGTAATCCCAGCACTTTGGGAGGCCAAGGTGGGTGGATCACCTGAGGTCAGGAGTTAAGAGACTAGCCTGGCCAACACAGTGAAACCCCATCTCTACTAAAAATACAAAAATTAGCTGGGCATTGTGGCGTATGCCTGTAATCCCAGCTACTCGAAAGGCTGAGGCAGGAGAATCGCTTCAATCTGGGAGGCAGAGGTTGCACCAAGCAAAGATTGTACCATTACACTACAGCCTGGGCAACAGAGCAAGACTTGTTCTCAAAACAAAACAAAACAAAACAACAACAAAAGATTCACTGTAAAGAGTTAATTAATGAAAAGTTGGAAATGCAAGACACTACCTTACCAAGGATGGTAAAAACTGATATGACTCCTACTGCGCCCCCTCTGTCCCTACTTACTTTGCCTGAATATTAAAAAATCTACTCCTAAATATCCAGTCTGCTAACTTTGTCTGAATTGCCGTTCTTCCCTGAAAAAAGCAATTAAACAATTTCCTTATGAGAGAATCATCTGAAAAATCAGAAGATAATCCCCAAGTGACTTGCACTTCCTGGACAAAAATGGACTTCGGGGCCACAGTTTAAGATTTTCCTGCTGGGCGCGGTGGCTCACGCCTGTAATCCCAGCACTTTGGGAGGCAGAGGCGGGTGGATCATAAGGTCAAGAGATCGAGACCAATCCTGGTCAACATGGTGAAACCCTGTCTCTACTAAAAATACAAAAAAATTAGCTGGGCATGGTGGCGCATGCCTGTAATCCCAGCTACTCAGGAGGCTGAGGCAGGAGAATTGCCTGAACCCAGGAGGCGGAGGTTGCAGTGAGCCGAGATCGCGCCATTGCACTCCAGCCTGGGTAACAAGAGTGAAACTCCGTCTCAAAAAAAAAAAAAAAAAAAAAAAAGTAAAGATTTTCCTAAACCTAGAGAAGAACGTCATAAGTTTTCTGAAGAATTCAGGGTCTTACTGGTAACTTACTTTTTTAAAATTTCAATTTCTTTATATTTTTTTAGATGAAGTTTTGCTCTTGTTGCCCAGACTGGAGGGCAATGGCACTATTTCTGCTCACTGCACTCTCCACCTCCCAGGTTCAAGCAATTTTCCTGCTTCAGCCTCCTGACTAGCTGGGATTACAATCGCATGCTACCACGCCTGGCTAATTTTTTGTATTTTTAGCAGAGATGGGGTTTCACCATGTTGGCCAAGCTGGTCTCAAACTCCTGACCTCAGGTGATCTACCTGCCTTGGCCTCCTAAATGCTGGGATTATAGGCATGAGCCACTTGCCTGGCCTTACTGGTAATTTATGACCCCAGGATACTTTATCTGTAGCAACTAGTACACATGTTGGTGTTATCTAGGGAGCCCCACATGGATGAAAAAGGCAGAATGGTAGTTTCCTGAGAATTCTATCAAGTACCCAACAAGTGCCATCTGATCTACTTAATGGGTCAGGCAAAACCCAAAAGACTGCAAATTACCTTTCCAAAAGCCATTCCCAAAGTATTTCAGCTCAATGACAACCAACAACCTACAATGACATTTAGGCTTGTCCTAGGTTGCGTCCTCAAATAAGCAACCCTTAAAACAGCAGTTTGCAAAAACTGACTGCCATTTGTGCAAACAACCAGGACACTGGAAAGAGGACTGCTAAAAAAAATTTCTAGGAAGGCCCCTAAAATCAGGCTTCCCACCCACTCTGTGATTAAAAAAAAAAGTTCCTATAAACTTGATATGTATTGGTATAAATGCTGTAAGTCATAATTTTGGTTGAGAAATAACCAAATTTCCTTGTCAAATGCATCATTATTATAATGAGCTCTTAAGCCATGTTGTCCACAGTTAGTTTTGGTTCTAATACCTTTTATGAAAGCTTTTTTTTGCAAGCAATTATAATCCAAAAGTGCTGTATCTTCCAAAAGCTGTATCAAGAAGAATAAAAAAAGATCAGGCACAGTGGCTCACACCTATAATCCCAGCACTCTGGGAGGCAGAAGTAAGCAGATCACTTGAGGTCACGAGTTGAGACCAGCCTGGCCAACAAGACAAAACCCTGTTTCCACTAAAAATACAAAAATTGGCCGGGTATGGAGTTGTGTGCCTGTGATCCCAGCGACTCAGGAGGCTGAGGCAGGAGAACTGCTTGAACCCAGGAGGCGGAGGCTACAGTGAGCCAAGATCATGCCCCTGTATTCCATCCTGGGCAATAGAGTGAGACTCTGTCTCAAAAAAAAAAAAAAAGAAACTCCGATATAACTTTTATTTTATATCATTGGACAACATTTCTAAAACTTTAATGAAGAAACTGTAAACCAAAAATAAAATCCTTAGCCCTACAGCCGATTGGATGGGCCCCCCTTACCCACATTCAATAGGCCAAGGGCTTTCCAAAGTAAACCTGAAAAACTAGTTCAGGCCATGATGGGAATGGGGGTAGGGTCAGAATGCCTCATTATACCTTCCTTCTAGAATTCAGGCACAATTGACCAGCATGAACATTAAAATAGAAATCTTAAGACTGACCAAACAGACTCTTTATACCAATAAGACACAACACATGACAGACAGCACACATTGAAAGAAATTGAAGTATTTTACTCAAAAATATGTATTTTTTTATGGATTTTTAAATGGCCCTGCAAAGTTCTCTTGTGGGAGAAAGTTACATTCTGTGGAGAATCCCTTTCCCTTTCTAGGCCTTTTCCTGATCCAGGAGAGACTAACTAGAGTCTGGCACCTTTTAAAATCTGGTAAGAAATATTTACCACGGCCGGGCATGGTGGCTCACGCATGTAATCCAAGCACTTTGGAGGCTAAGGCGGGCGGATCACCTGAGGTCAGGAGTTCAAGACCAGCCTGACCAACATGGTGAAACCCCATGTTTAAAAAAAAAAAAAAAAGAAAAAATAAGAAGAAGAAAAAAAGAAATATTTACCATCTATTCTCCGTGAAGCCTGCTCTCTGAATGTTTCATCTGTATAAGAAGCTTGGCCTTGCCGGGCGCGGTGGCTCAAGCCTGTAATCCCAGCACTTTGGGAGGCCGAGGCGGGAGGATCACGAGGTCAAGAGATCGAGACCATCCTGGTCAACATGGTGAAACCCCGTCTCTACTAAAGATACAAAAAATTAGCTGGGCTTGGTGGCACGTGCCTGTAATCCCAGTTACTCAGGAGGCTGAGGCAGGAGAATTGCCTGAACCCAGGAGGCGGAGGTTGCGGTGAGCCAAGATCGCGCCATTGCACTCCAGCCTGGGTAACAAGAGCGAAACTCCGTCTCAAAAAAAAAAAAAAAAAAAAAAGAAGCTTGGCCTCCACAACCCCTTATTTTAACCCAGAAATTCCTTTTTATTGATTGCAGGTCAACCAATTGCCAATCAGAAAATTAACTCCACCTGTTAACTGGAAGTCCTCCCCATCCCTTACCTTTGAGTTGTTCTGCCTTTCTGTATTGAACCAATGGTTCATTTTACATGCATTCATTGTCTGCCTGTAACTTCTGTCTCCCTAAAATGTATAAAACCAGCTGTAACTCAAACCGCCTTTGGCATGTTCTCAGGACCCTCTGAGGCTGTGTCATGGGCATATCTTTAACCCTGGCAAAATAAACTCCTAAATTGATTAAGACTTGTCTCAGTTACTTTTGGTTTACAAATCTGATGGGTTTGTAAAACTACTAACCAAGATCAAACAGAGCACGAATCAATTACATGAGCCTGACTGAATCGATAAATAAAATTCACAACTTGTATCATCCTATAAAGTCAGAGTAAATGTTGAAGATTTATCTATAGACATATCTATGTAGATACATATTACGCATTTATACACATGAAGTTTTGCCCAGTTAGGATTCCTTACAAATTTGCTTCTGTCTCAAACTTACTGGGAAGATCATTGTGTTTCTAGATTAAACTGTGCATAAACAGTTGCTGCCTAGAAACTCTGTGGACAAGAATTACTGAAATAACATGTATAAAGTGCAGAGCGTAGCTCCAAC